GGTGATATGTATGTTGATAAGCTCACGTATCCTAAAACTGTTCTGGGCAGAAGCTGTCAAAATAGCCTCATATCTAATAAATAAATGTCCCACAAAATCATTGAATTATGATACACCTGATCATGTTTGGAGGGATCATCTAGTTGATTATTCAAAACTGAAGGTTTTTGGTTGTGCTGCATATGCACACCAAAATGAAGGAAAGCTAGAGCCTAGGTCTACTAAAGGTATTTTCTTAGGATATAGGGAAGGGGTCAAAGGATATAGGATCTAGTTGAAAGGTCAAGAATGTAATAGAGTCAAAATAAGTAGGAATGTTATCTTCAATGAAGTGGACATGCCCTACATAAAATATAAAGGAACTGCCACATCTAAAAATGACCTAAATAGATCTTTTATACAATCTGAACCTCTTCAAGCTTATGTAAATTCAGGAAATAATGACCAAATTGAGGTGAAGCCTACCCAAGAATAAGAAATTGCCTTGGAACCATAATCTGAACCTACAAATGAACCTGAATCTGATATGCTAACAAACTTTGGACGATTACCATCTAGCTAGTGATAAAGAAATAAAAGAAATAAGACCAACAGCTAGATATAATGAATCAGATTTACTACTGTACTTAGTGTTCAGATCCTTTCTGATAATGAGCCAAATTCCTATGAAGAGGCCATTGAAGAAAAGAATGCAAAACTCTGGCTAGCAGCTATGAAAGATGAAATGCTTTCATTAGTCAAGAATAAGACTTGGGTCTTAATCAATAAACCAAAAGAAGAAAGGGTCATTCACTGTTTATAAAATAAAAGAAGATGATTCAGGGTCATTCACTGTTTATAAAATAAAAGAAGATGATTCAAAAGGAGAAAATGTAAGGTTCAAGACCAGATTAGTTGCTAAGGGGTTTAACTAGAGAGAAAGAATTGACTACAATGAGATTTCTCACCTGTAGTCAAATACACCACTATAAGAATTTTATTCTCTCTTGTTTCACAATTTGATTTTGAGTTAGAGCAATTAGATGTGAAAACTGATTATTTTTCATGAAAATGTGGAAGAAAAAATTTATATGATTCAACCAAAAGATTTTGAACCAAAAGGAAAAGAAAATTGTGTGTCTTTTACAAAAATCACTCTATGGCTTGAAACAAGGCCCTACGCAATGGTACATCAGGTTTGATACTTTTATCAAAGGTCTTACTTTCAATAGAAGTGAATATGATTCATGTTTCTATTATAAAGGTAATTGAGGTCCTGATTCATATTTTTTTTGCTATATGTTGATGATATGTTACTTGCTGGATATAACATTATTGAAATTAATGATATTAAGCAAAAGTTAAAACAAGAATTTGAAATGAAAGATTTAGGATCTGCTAAGAAGATTTTAGGAATGGAAATTAAAAGAGATAGAGCTAATGATAGCCTCTTTCTTGCACAACAATCATACATTTTAAAAATATTAGGTAGATTTGCCATGGATAGAGCAAAGGAAGTCACTTTGCCTCTTGGCAGTCATTTTAAATTTTCTATAGACCAATATGCCCTAAAACTGAAGTAGAAAAAGAAAAAATGGATAAAGTTCTTTATGCAAAGGTTTAGTCGTGTATGTTATGGTCTGTACAAGACCCAACATTGCCTTTGTTGTAAGTATTTTTTTAAGAAGGTACATGAGTAATCTTGGTGAGTACCATTGGGAAACCATGAAATGGTTATTGAGATATTTAAAAGGAACATCTAATTTAGGGATGATGTTTCAAAAATGCAAATTTGGAATTAAATTAGAAGGTTTTGTAGATTATGGCTTTGCCGATAATTGTGATAATAGAACTTTAAATGATACTTGCATAAGTTAAAAATCACAACTGCAAAAGATTATAGCCTTGTCATCGACAGAGGTTGGATATATTGCAGCCACAGATGCAATGAAGCAAGGTACATCGAGTGAATGATATCAAAGAAAGTGTTAACCTCCAATCCATAATGAAACCCAGGATGTCGAGCAAGGTGAAGATTGTTAAGTATGGTTCTTAACATCTTGAAGCCCAATTTAAAGCCCACTTAAAGGAATGTGACCCTGTTACTTATTAGCTGAGCAATCTCGTGTTTTACTGAAATGCATTTTTTAATGAATGGTTTAGATGATGCCAAGTGCTAAAGTAACCGTTGGATGTATTGTGATTGTTTATATTCTAATGACCCTTCATTTTTTAAAGAACGCGAGAGTTCTAGGGTTTTCTCATCTCTTTCGTCTCTGTTCTCTCTCAAAGGAAAACCTTTGATTTTTATCTGTAATCGTTCATCTCTAGATATTCTTGGTGAAATCTAGCATAAATTACATGTATGAGAGACTGATTCTGTTATTTGCCAAGTAGTAACTCTTGGTTACTTGGTGTAATCTGTTAAGAGAGAAAATCCAGTCCGAGGACAAGATTTATAGAATTCCTTGTGTTGTAATCCTTGTATTGATATTCTTTGCTGGTTTATAGTGGATTGGAGCGATAGCCACTTTGGTAGATACTTAACCTGGTGATTAGCCCTTTTGGGTAAACATCCGAGCTTAAGGGCAAAAAATCTTCAGTGTTCATTGATTTTCTACCAATAGTTTGATTATTTGGGACTGTTAATACCAACAGAGGAAAATAGCATTGCATGATGGGCTTACATTTACTAAGGATCTTGGTTTCAATATATCAGTAACCGAAACTGATTCCCTCGAAGTTGTGCAAAGTCTCATAGCAATACTATTTGATATTAAAATGTCATGCAAAATGTCAATTGTAGATCTTGTTAATTTATTTCCTGAGAGGGGACCAAAGCGTCCCATAGAGTGGCACCTTTCATATCACCTATTTGGTTTACTTGTCGATGGTTTGACTATATTCCTCGATTTCTTTTGCCAATGCTATGTAGCGATTTGGTTTAATAAAGTTTATTGACTTTCAAAAAAAAAATGTTTATTGTGCAAAAGTTAGAATACAAGAGTTTTAAATAGTATAATAAGCAAAAAGCCTAAACTATCCTAACCAAACAAGTAAAATGACAAGTATACCATTTTAACAACATAAAATAACATAAGTACAAATACTATAACTAAGAAAAATGATGCTAACAATCCGCATCTTCACTATTGTCCTCGGACTGCTTAGGGGCGTAAATGAGTCAGGTTGAGCAGGCTCAAAGCTTAGCTAAAAATTGAGGCTTGACTCAATTAGCCGAGTCGGCTCATTTTCTAAGAAAAAAATTGTGATGATGCAACTGTTTCAGGCAGACATATGTAGCTGCCTATAACGAGCATGTGACATGGGCCATTTTGGCATGCCACAAGTCAAGCCAAATAGCCTACTCAGGCTTGGGCCGTCGTCCAAAAATGAGGCCCACCCGAGCATTGGCTCGATTCCGTTGAGCCAACTTGAATTGTTTCCAGATCTAGCTGTCGGCCGCTCAAACTAACGAGTCGAATTTATAACCGTAGGATTGCCCCATCCTCATGACCTATCCCTTCTCGATTTCCAAATTTTCCCACATCCCATATTCATAATCACCATCTCCACCATGGTTGGTGTGAGTCCTACAGATTGCCAATCTCCAGAGCCAGGGAGTTAGTTTCCCCATTCCCAGGGACAGATGTAAGGGGACTGTGCTGGGCTGTAGTCCCTCCAAAGACCCAAGATATATATATATATATATATAGGGCATTTTTCATTTTTTTTAAAACAATTTTTTATGTGTGACTCCCCCCGTGAAAGACTTTAATTTCAAGCCCCCATTCGATCGACCCGAGATTCAACTGCCCCCACCCCCCCGGGTATTAGCCCGATGTTGAATCCAATTCTGAATCCATCCTGCCCATTCCCATGTCCCGTCTCCCTAACTCTATTCCTTGTCCACCCCAAGATGATGAGTCCCACATCCTTCGAATAGTAGCAGCGCATAGCCAATGGCTATATCAACGTAAACCAGAATCCATTTGACAAAGGATCGTTAAGAGGATCCTCTTCCTCTAGGCAATCACATAGCCAGTGGCATATTAGTCCACAATAGAAAAAATACTCAGGTAACCTCTGATATTGTAGAGTGAAATTCACCTCGGCTTGTATCTCATCTTAAACAGCCCTAATAGTACATTATGCAATTAGATGGGAAATTTTTGTTATCCCTTTTTTTATTTAAGGCAATTTGTGAAGGTGTTATTTATCGAAAATAAAATTTTGAAAAATGACAATTGAAGTGATCAAAGTACAGCCTCATTAATGAAGTTCCCATTCAAAAAATAAATAAATATATAAAAGGAAAGACATTTCGAAATTGATATGGTCTACAAGAAATAGATAATGCAGCAGAAAACCAGACATTATTGTCGAGATAAAACTGTAAATATGTTACATTAGGAGTTTGCCAATAATTTTATTTTATAAAGCTCTCTGCAGATAAGAAAACAAATCATCGTATATCCTTATTCATTTTCCCTATCTTTTGAATAGGATTAATGTTAAATGAAGCAAAATAGAGAATATAATATTTATAAATGAGTGTTATGAACACTAATCATTTTTATTTTTATTCTTTTTCTTTTGACAGTTATCCATAGAGAATCGAGAAAAATTCAAGACACAGTCTGCCTCTAATGAAAACTCATTCTCCCAGAGACACCTATCTTTTTTCTCTTCTCAGTGATCATCCTTTCATACATGGCCAGAAGATATTAGAGCAACAAAGGAAAAACGAAATATAATCCTACAAATGTTCACCTTTTTGCTACCTACCTTGTTACAGCAAAGCTCTGAGCCCAGAAATCTCTCTGTCCGAATGATTTAGTATGATATCATAGATGTTCACCATTCCACTATTGACCTCGTGGTAGCAGAAAGGTTGAGCCCACAAACCAAACCAATCTTTCTTTCTAACTCATTTCCTTGACCATTGGTGTCAATGGAGCAAAAGAAACACCGGACAAACTCCTCAGTACACCCAATAAATGGGTTGAATCAATTGAACAGATAATGATGACAAGCCCTGGCTCGCCCATTCACTAAGATTAACAAGTCCTGGTAAATCTTAACTTACAAAGACAAAAACCAACCTTCCAGTAGAAGTCCAAAGATATGAGGATTGCCCCCGTCATTATAAATCATTTATGGCAGATAATGATCTGAAGGGCTATGTTAATGTAACAAACTGTCTAGTATTTTCATAATAAACATCTCAAAAGCATTAAAAAAATAAAAATACAAGGAATTGCACACAAAATCAATATCGAGCTCTTAAGCATGACCATGATCATCATGACCATGACCATGATCATGGTCATGGTCATGGTCATGGTCATGGTCATGATCATGATCATGGCCCTCCTCTGCGGCAGCCTCAAAGGTCTCGCCAGCCACAAGGTCTGGTACATCATCATCATCTTGTTCTTGAGCTGCATCAGCAGCTGCACCAGGCATCTGATTTTTGAACTGCTCTGCCAGTTTCTTCAAATTCTCCAAGTTATCTGGACCTGAAGTTTTCAGGAGAAACCTTTAGACAATCAAGTTTTTTCCAATTAGTCTAACCAAACAAATATAAGAAGAAAAGAAAGCTGAACGCAAACCTAATTGGTGAATGATTTGAGGGAGAACGTCTTGCAATTCTAAGACAGAACCAAATAGAAAATCAGTTTAAATTGATAGAAGTAACAGTACAACAGATAACATAAATAGCAATCAACCTTCCCCTCCATTATTTACGATAGAGACCAAAAAATAAATAAATAAAATTGAGGAAAGTTCAGCTAGCAACTCAAATTCCCAAATACAAAGGAAATAAGCTATTTGAGGCCAATCTGCTTATTTATTTGCAATCAAAAATCAATGGATCGACCATAAGTCGAAATATGGTTACAGCCCTTATGTGTCTGGAACTAGGTTTATATCAAATTTCATAACATTTTCCTTTTTTTTTTTTTTTTTTTTATATAATATTTCTCAAACAGCAACTCAGACTAAAATAAAATAAGGACAAATATTGCACTATATGACAATGACTGTTATGCACCTGAAAAATTAAAAACTATGTTTTCATGAAGAGAAAAGAGGAGAGCATACTCTTGGTCTGAGGAGAGCCACTAACAACCCAAGTGTTGGCAGCAATAGATGCTTGAACTGAATAACAAAAGATAACAAGTCAATAGAGGGTCAAAGGACCAAAAGAAGTCAATTGGGACAAAATACAGATTGTCTACATCATGGGTACCTTTAGGGTTAGTGAACTGGATTACTACATCCTCCTTGAAAATATTGACCTCCTCAATTGCTGGTATAGCATTCACCCCTATTCTTTTCAGGGTGCTTTGAAGTCTTTTGTCATCTGTCGTGGTTGTCTTATGAACAGCCTTCTTCTTTCTGCAATTGAGAACATATATTTTGGGCTTGTTTATGTAGTTTTTTAAAATAGATTTTATTAAAAGTGATTTTTTTGGAAAATATGTGGTTAAAAAATAGGGAAATTATTTTATCGAGAGTATGCAGTTGAAAACAAGTTCAGAAAAAATGAATTTTAAAGATTATGTACAAAACAGGGCTCAATGACACTAACAAAGAGTCTACTCTGATTGAGCTGAATACAAACCAATAAATAATCATCTAACAATGCCATTGCAGCAGAAAATTTAGATTATGGTGTTGTACAACTTTTTGACAAAAGAAATGTTGTGGTATTAATTCAGTCAAAATTCACAGGGGAAAATCAGTATCATATATTAAGAAGACACAAACCTTCTCATGGTACCCTTTCCCCCAGTTCGGACAGAGCCGGCCATCTTCATTAGCTTTTCCACATTCATCTGTCATAAAACAATATAGGTATTTGATCAATAAAGTCCTTTTTTGAGTTAATAAACACTTTGTTTGATGCAAATTTTAAAAGTAAAAACCACGTTTCAGAAAGAGCTTAACAACCATTGAGCACAAAAATTACTTCTCCCATGGACCTCATCTAAACACAATGAAACATATAGTTTTGTATTTTCGTATATTGATATATTAGGAAAATTAAATAACAAGTAGATAAAAACTCCAAACACAACAAATTAAACATCAAAGTGCCAGTTGCAAAGTAAAACACATACCAAAACCTTCTCTTTATAAACGGAAAACAGAGAAGCATATGGCCATTAAGAAAAAAAAAATGGAGATTACGCTCCAAAGCATATGAATCCCTTTCAAAAAAAAATTGCAGTCTCAATCAACAGTATAATGCTTCAGAATTTTCTAGATAATGGAGGTTATAAAAGTTTAGATTCTTATTGAAGCGCACAAGGACATAAATACTTAATTACCCAAAACAAATACAACATGAAAGCTTTCAAAGAAAACAAATCCGGTAAATTAAAATTTTTATGTGAAATCAGAAAGACCCAAATTCCTCTGAATCCTAAATAAACGACAAAACGAGCCCAAAGCCTAATTCTGTAGGCATATAAATACACAGAAATTAAGCTAAAAAACCAAAATCTATACATCCGTTGAAATAAAGCGAGCATCAAGCATAAGTCTATACTAAACCTCAATTTTTACACAAAGCACACATGAACATATACAGATAGATGCACGTGCATACGTAATAGTTTCACCAAAAAAATCACTACAAAAAGAAAAATACAAATATACATAGCTGTATCACTGATAGAGGGGAAAAAAGAGAGTTTCGGCTAATTACCTCTGCTTGCTGCTTAGAAAAAGGAGTGCTAAGCAAATCGAGAAAAGAGACTGAGATATTTCGAAGTGGATAACAAATGAAACCCTAGGTCAGTGGCATTTCATATACGCAAACGATGATGGGTAGTTTGGGCATTTAACTTTTATAATTATATTGATATTATATTTAAATTTTTATTATACTTAAAATTATACTTAAAATTTTCAATCTCTATTCATTATAACATTTGTCTCTAACAATTTTTCATGACATTCTTATACTCAGACATTTTATTAGTTAATATATTTTATATTTGATAACAATTTATATCCAAAAAGTTCATAGAAATAGAGTATAACAATTTATTTTTTATCATATTTTACAAAATTAATAAATAAAAAAGTACTAAAAAACAAAGTAGTTTAACATAAATCATCATAAAGGACGAAGGAACTAATTAATGGAATATTGAAATAAGAACTCGACAAAAAAATTATGAAAAATAATTTCTACAATAAGCAAAAACTAAAGAGTTTAACTAATAATTAAAATATTGTGTAACAAATAAAAATTGTGATGACAATACAATTATGTTAACTATATTCACGTCATAAGTTTTATTTCTTACACTACATTTTAATTGCACTTAATGATCTTAAGTTTTATTCATTATAACATTTATGTCCCTAATATTTTTTATATCATTCTTATTCATAAACTTTTTATTAGACTATCTCCAATAGTTTACACCAAATTTGGTTCAATTTGGTGTATCATCTCCAATGATTACACCAAACTCTGATTTGGTCTTCATTATTATTAAAATATATTTTTCTCTTATATTTTCAACTTCAAGTTCTTCAATAAAATAGTATTACATATAAATCTAAAAAAATTTCTTATTTTTTAATCACATATTTTTCATCAAAATATTATTCCAAAATGCATTATTTCCAATAAAAAGGGGGTTCAGAGATGCTACAAATTTGGTGTAAAAGTTATATCAAAGTTGGTGTAACCATTGGAAATTGTCTTACACAAAATTTTATTTTAAATTATTTAATTAAAAATTATATTGTTATTAAAATCATTAAATTAAAAATTATATTTAATGAACTAAAATACTGCATTTATTAATGAAAAAATTAAACAGAATACCACAATTTAAAAAATTGCATTTAATTTAAAAATGATTATTACTTATTACTTGATTATAATTTAAATATAAATGTTAAATATAAATAACCATCACACTAAAATAATTATAAATAAATTAAAATATATTAATTCTGAATGATAAAAAGGGATAGAGATGAAATAAAAATTTGTTGTAAAGGGGAAGAAGGGTAAAATGGAAATAATTGAAAAACTTGAATGGTGTTCATTTACACCAAATTTGGTTTAAACATATTCATAACACCAAATTTACTCTATATTTGCCATATCATTAGAGAGCATTTTATACTCAAATTTGCCATCCCATTGGAAATTGTCTTAGTTAACACATTTCGAACCTGTTTGGGGCTGATTATGAGAATCAATTTTTTCCCCGTTAGCTTGAAAAAGTGAGTCTCATCTACGAGTGAAAAAATCCAAAATGACGATGACTATGTTAAGTAACGATCAAAAAATTAATTTTTTTGTTTGAAAATTAGAACCAAAAGGGGGCTTGTATTTGAGAACCTTTTATATCCAAAAGTCCATTGAAATTTAAATAGCGTGAAATAAGTTATTGTTCCATCATATTTAAAAATAAATAAATAAATAAATAGGGTAATTTTTTCTTCATTTCAAAACATGAAAATAAAATTATTTTGATATAAATCATTATCAAGTACGAGAAGTACTATTAGTGAAAAGCTGAAGATAAGAATTCAACAAATAAAAACGTTAAAGAAATAATTGATCCAATGAGGAAAGATCGGGACGTTTAACTACAACTTAAATACAATGTATTAAATAAAAATTGTGGTGGCATTATAACGACCCTTCTTTTAGCATTGACGATTAAGTGAGATCTAACCACTTTGAGCTTCATTAGCTAGACTCATTTTTTCATTAAACTTAATTTTCATCATACATTTTCTTAATAAAATAATTTTATATGTAAATTTTTTTTTATTTTTTTTTTTTTGTAATTACACATCCTCTCATCTACACAAACATTGAAATGTAGTTTGGGTACTTCTTTTAGTTATACTTCTCCAAAGCAATGACCAGGTTTAAGTGAGATCTTAGCCCTGTTCGAGCCTCATTTTTTAAATTCATTTTTTCTTAAACTTATTTTTTAATATATATTCTTTCAATAAAATAATTTTACACGTAAATTTAATAATTCCCTACTTCTTAACTGTACATTCTCACTCAACAAAAAAAAAAAAATCACTTTTTACGAAATCCTTTTTTTTTTTTTTTTTTTAGTGTGGTTCAAATAAGGACTACCACTACAACAGAAATGATCTTTTGCAACACTAAAATGGTAACATTCATTACCAAAGGGTTCTATTGCAACATTTTAACAAATAAATGTTGCAATTGCTTAACGTAATTGAGATTTGGCAACACCTTTTAAAGGCATGTTGCTAATATCATATTTTGCAACATTTATTGAATGTTGTGAAAGGATTCATTTTTTACAACATTTTATTGAACATTGTTAAAATTTGGCTTTACAGCAACATTTAGTGCATATTGCTAGAACTCATAATATACAGTCTTTTGTAACATTTACTGATTGTTGCAAAAAGTGAATTTTTTTGCAACGTTTATTGAGTGTTGGGAAAAGTTTAATCTTTCACAACGTTCACTGACTTTTACGAAAACATCTAAAAAAATTATTTTTTCCAGTGTTCATTAAATGTTGTGAAAAGTTTCACTTTTCGCAATGTTCAATGACGGTTGTAAATACATTCACAAAAATTTACTTTTTGCAACGTTCGTTCAATTTTGCAAAAAGTAGCCCACAACGCAACTAAAATTCACCCCAGCCCATAAAAAGAAAACAAAACCTGTTTGGACTTAAACTATCTCTATTCTTTTCAAGTAATCTAAGATAATCAATGGTGGAGAAATATACATCAAAAGTTTTAGATGAACATGTTGATGATCGATAGAAAATATTTTTGAAACTCGGATTAAAGGAAGGGACATGAGTTGTTTGTAAGTATGGAGTTGTTTGTTTGATTCTTTTTCAATTTTTTCCAATTTCTTTTTTATCAATCTCTCGCACTTCCTATTTTGTAAAATAGTATTTTGTCTTTTCTTTGCTTATATTTTGCAAGATTATATGCCAGATGTGGTTTCTGCTTTGGGAAAGATATGCCAATTACATCGTTGCCAGTTTCATCAATATCTCCCCAAAATTGTCTCTATATTTGCTGAGGTCAGTTCTCACCATTTTACTATCAACATTTTTCTTCTGCTAAGGTTCTATGTGCATGTAAAGATCTTGTTACAAAGCAAACTATTAGTCTAATGATCAATCTATTGAAGGAGCCTTAACAGATATTTCCACCATCAACTATTACCTCTACATAGTTATCCTTGTAGCCTGAGCAACAACTTGCATTACAGAAAATTCTTTCATCGCAGTACACAAGGTGACGACATTTTTTTTCTGGGTTATTGTTGTTTTGTGCTGGTCATACATGACACGACCCGTCCCGAATCACCTTAATGGATTCTACGCATGTCGTGCGCCGATGGTAGATACCAGGTAAACGTCGGACCCACCATCAAGGCAACTTGACTTACTTGACTGAAGAATATTTTTAACAAAATTTTGACAGAGTTTCCCTTGAAATATGAACTAAAACCACTGAACAGCAACTAATTTTCCTCAAATCAATACCTATAATATAAATAGGATAAGCTATTCCCTCAAAATACAAACTATTCAAATAAAATGTCGGCAAATCAACATTTCCTTTCTCTGCAACCAACATTTCTCAAATATACTAAAGACGCCAAATATGTAGTGAACCCATGATAACCTTTTCTGACATAAACTACATATAACTCAAAGAAACATATACTACATAGTCTGGTAAAGTAGGCCATACAACCTATGACAGATGACTCAATATGACGGAACAACAGGCTCCAAAGCTACTCAATTCAGCTGCTATTTGACAAGGAAAAAGGTGAAAAGACATATGAGCTTATAGCTTAGTGAGTGGATAATTTGCGAATAAATATACTTTTTCCATTTCTACATATTTTCTGAAAATTCTAGCTTTATTAAATCTTTGAAAATTTCTGAAATCTGGTAACACTTTTAAAACCAAAACATGATTACATCATACAATTTTTTGTTCTTAATTCTGGATAAGTAAATGTAAAGTTAACGAATAATCTGATATTCATGAAAATCTATGAAATATTGCTACTGGTCAATATTATAAGTTGAAAGCTTTATTTTGAAAACTGAATTCCATAATCTGAAATCTGAGAATTGAATAAATACTGAAAATCACACCAAAAAGAGTACTCAATGAATAGCCTTACTCATGTACAGAGTAATCTCGATGTACAAGGCAAAGCCATTCAAATATGATAGATGATAATCTGGTCATACGTACGCAGAGTTGCTCCAAAGGCTAATCACCCTAGTACACGGCCCAAAGCCTATGTGTGTACGAGAGTGGGTCCCAAAGACCTCTGATAATCTGGTCATACACTATAGAAACACATTCACGATAGTGCAGAGCGGGTAAAATCACTATACTGATCATACACTGTAGAAACACATTCACATCAGTGCAAACTGGGGTAAAATCACCTGGGTACTTTCTGGTGATTTTTAAAAATAACTTTAACTATACTGAAACATGTAATAAGAATATAACATGCTACTAAAATAATTTAACTGAACTGAATTTAACTTTAAAAGAAATTGATAATAAAATTCATTTTATTCTGGAAATCATGCTATGAAGTCAACTTTATAAAATAAATAACTTTAAAATTTGACGAAAACTTATTTCTGAAAAATAAGTTTTATATCCACTCACTCAATACGAGTTACAGACTAGGTCAGTCGGTAAGCTTTTCCAATTCTTCGTCACCACCTGTAATACGTTACAAATAACTAATTTAATCACTACTAAAATAAAGAAACATTTAATCTCTAATCATAT